GGCACTGCCCCCCACATGCAACATCAAATTTATCGAGCATATAATGGGTCACCTTGGTTGGATTAAATTGATTATTGAAGCTAAATCGGAATTTAAATATTAAGAATACTTTTTATTTTTCAATGTAATCCAAATAATCAAAGCAACATTACTTTTATAAGAAGATATTGAATAATATATGATTTATAATTTATGTTATTCATATTTATGTGAACAAAATATTGTATTTAATTTATAATACAATTTTAATATTGTGTCCTCGTACATCGAACAATTCATAATAGGTTGATAGATTTTGACGCAGATAGAAGCTTATTATGAGTGAGAAAAGAGTAAAGAACTCAAGAGATTTTTATTTCTAATCGTCAAAAACCAACGAAGAACGATGGGGATCACCCATTAAATACACTCCTAACCTAACATTATTTTCCTAATTAATTAAAGCAACAATAATTATTTTCCTAATAAATAAAGGCAACAAATAAAAGAGAATAAAATAAATAATACGTTCAATAATATATCGTCTAGACCCAAAGCCGATCATATCTCGCCAAATACGCCAATGTGATCTCGTTCCCATCATTCTCCCCCGGTTGAGGAGGATTCGCCGTTGAATCCGAAGGGATCTCGTTGTCGGAATTATCACCATAATAAGGAATGAGATGTTTGACGTTGAACACGTTAGACGTACGAATACGCGACGGAAGTCGAAGACGGTAAGCATATGGATTGATCTTCTCGATTATCTCAATGGGCCCAATTTTTCGAGGAGAGAGTTTGTTATACTCGTGAGATGTAAAGCGGTCCTTGGTCAAGACGAACAAAGTCCCCCTCCGCAAAATCGACATGGCGGCGCCGAACATCCGCGGTACGCTTATAAGCCTTGGTCACCTTCTCCAAACGCGATTGGGCCGCGGAATGCGTATGCTACAAATCGGCCATCAGCTCCTCGACATGACAATCCGCGCCAGCCACGGACGGTAAGACCGCATGGAATAGACCATCTCGAAAGAAGAAAACCCCGTAGCCCGACTAACGGCCAAGTTGTGTACAAATTGCGCCTGACAAAGGCGCTGGTCCCAACTGCGCAAATTCTCCCCAACCAAGCATCGAAGTAAGTTTCCTAACAAGTGATTCACAGCCTCCGTCTGGCCATCCGTCTGCGGGGGATAGGCACTATTAAAATCCGAACGAGTATTGGCCATCTGCCATAAGATGTGCCAAAAGAAACTAAGAAAACGAGTGTCCCGGTCTGACACAATTGAAGAGGGAAGACCATTCAGATGGTAAATCTCCCGAAAGAACAAATGGACCACATGAACGGCATCCGTCGTCCTTTTGCAAGGAACAAAGTAGACCATCTTAGAAAATCGATCAACCACCACAAAGACAAAGTCAAAACCACGCTGAGTGCGTGGCAATCCAACCACAAAATCCATGCTAATTGCACACCACGACTGAGACGGAATCGACAAAGGCGTATACAAACTGGCATTCGTTCCGGCAACGCGCGACAAAACGAGACATGTCCCGGCGTAACGAGGGCCCAAAAAACGAGCGGTGCACCAAAAAGACCTAACGATCACGACCCACGTGACTGGCACCATGCAGGTCCGCCACCAACTTCAAATGCAGGCTGCAATCCGGGACACACAAGCGAACTCCCTGAAAAGGGAAGTCGTCGGCTAACACATAATCCTCGAAAGGACCGGACGAAAGACGGGCAATGATAGGGCTGAAAAAATGGTCAGTCACGTAAAGATCCCGAAGCATATCGAAGCCGACCACCTCAACTCGCATGTCCGATAATAGCAGAGAACGGCGGCTAAGGGCATCGGCGACGCGGTTAGAGGCCCTCGACCAATGCTTCAACATAAACATAAATTGCTGTAAGTAGCACGACCAAGTAGCATGACGGACAGATATATTGTCCTAACAAGCAATATGTCGCAGGGCATCGTGATCGGTGAAAAGGACAAATTCACGCTGGAACAGGTAGTTGGGCAAAAAAAGTACAGCACGATAGATGGCGTAGAACTCAACGTCATAGGTGCTATAACGTAGCCGCGACCCAGAAAGCTTCTCACTAAAAAACGCAACATGCCTCGCATCCTGACTCAAACCGCCCCGATGCCAACCTTCGATGCGTCACATGATAACTTAAAAGGACGGGAAAAATCGGGTAACACCAGAACATGAGTAGAAGTCAGCTTGCTCTTGATCAAAGCGAAGGCCTCGGCCGCCTGCGGAGTCTAGACAAACGACTTCTCCGAGAGGCAATCAGTGATTGGTGCTGTGACAGAGCTAAAATGACAGATAAAACGCCTATAGAAAGAAGCGAGGCCAATAAAACTGTGAGCCTCTGTGATAGTCGTCGGTGTCGGCCAATCTCTAATCGCAGCCACCATGGACTCATCCACACGAATACCGCGGCCGAAATAATGAAACCCCAAAAAAGGACCGAATCAACCAAAAAGAAACACTTCTGAGGTGTCGCATAAAAAGATTCAGCTCGCTGAATAAGTAGAACCTCGCGAACGTGACCCAAATGCTCGGCCATCGTCCGACTATAGATAAGTATGTCATCGAAATAAACGACCACACACTTACCAATAAGATCCCGCAGTGTCTGACTCATAACCCTCATAAGGGTGCTCGACGCATTGGACAAACCAAACGGCATGACTAACCACTCGAAGAGGCCTTCCCAAATCTTGAATGTTGTTTTCCACTCATCCCTTAGCCGAATGCGGATCTGGTGGTAGCCACTACGTAAGTCCAGTTTGGTAAAGATGGTCGCACCATGCAACTGGTCCAAAAGATCATCTAATCGCGGTATCGGGAACCTGTAACGAACAGTGATCTTGTTGATGGCCCTGCTATCCACACACATGCGCTAAGAACTATCCTTCTTCGGTATTAATAAAGCCGGAACGACACACGGGCTCAGACTACGTCGAATGACCCCTCGCTGCAGTAGCTCGTCCACCTGGCGCCGAAGCTCCTCATGTTCGGGCGGACTCATACGGTAATGTGGACATTTGGGAGCACAGCCCCAGGCACCAAATCAATATGATGTTGGATATCATGCAGAGGTGGCAATCCGGACAGTAAGTCTGCTGGAAAAACATCTAAAAACTCGTCTAATAATGGTTGGATCGCCGCGGAAGGTGACCGTTCGAAGGACGGGTCGGAGCCCATCAGAAAGAGAATAAATGGGTCCCCGCGCATCTCATCCACAAAAGCAGCCCGAGAGAGAAATAAAACCGAAGATGTATTCGAAGGTGTCAAAGAACGAGGCGGGGCAGGATGCAAGACAATCTTAACACCCTCAAAACTGAACGTATAGGTGCTAAGACGACCATCGTGAGTAGCTGCCCGATCAAACTGCCAGGGTCGCCCTAACAACAAATGACCAGCATCCATCGGGACGACATCGCACCAAGACTTATCCCGATAGGACGCACCAATAGAGAAAGAGACGAGTATGCGGCGGTCGACTGTGACGGCATTGTCGCGCTGTATCCATGCCAATGTATACGGGTGAGGATGCAGTTCAGTCAACAACCGCAGTTTCTCCACGGCCTCCTATGCAACTGTAACGCCCCAATCGATTTTTAAAGAAAAATCCATGGCTTTTCCAAAAATCAAGGTAAAAATTTTCGAAACTTATTTTTCGAATCATAAACTTTAGCGTTACTCATTCTTTTCAAAAATACAGTTCAAGTCATATCTGAACTACGGGGATTCATTACCCGATTTTTTCAACGGTTTTTATTAACCACATAACATAAACATAAACATCAGAATATTCTCAATCATATATCAAGAAAGGTTTTTGAACATAAACCAAATCTGAATGTTTTCAAAATAATCAAGTTCCAAATCCAATCCAACATAAGTTCAATACCAACATAAGTTCATGAAGAAAGCGAAAGCAATTAAATAAACAAAATAAATAGGTATGACCACCGCTCGCCTTGTCTCGTCACGCGCCACTGCTTAACCTGCATCAGTTACGAGCAGGTGGGAGTGAGTACAGTTAAATATCGTACTCACACTATGCAATGCACATTTTGTAATATGTTAAATAGGCATGGTCGCAGCATGAACATAAACAATATCACATGTCTCATCTCCATCATAACATAAAAATAAATACTCCTGTGTACACATCTTTCATAATAGTCGCGGAAAGGGGATTCATTACCCTAACGGCGAGAGTACGTGCCACGCAAGGACACGGCCTTTCATAATAGGTCTTTACGGAGACGTGCCTCATAAGGCAACCGTATTACATCGACAGGAACAACCGTAACGATGGTCATCATAATAGCTCACATCGATAGGCTACATATTTACGTTCATACATAGATCACGCCAAAACGGAACACATATTTAAACACACATTGCACAGATAATTTAGAATAACAACCCACCTGGATATTCTGAAATTGAGAGTCGTCGCTTATGTAGAAATTCGAGGGCTCGACTCCTTAAAATCTACATAAAAATAAGCGATACTCGGATAATAACTAATTCTAAACTCGGTAAACTAATTTAACAATTTGAAGGATTTCTTAACTTAAGGTTCATGACTTATAAAATCTTGCTTTTATTTCTTAGATGTTGGAACTCTCGACTCAGGTGGCATAGCAACACACAAGGCAATAACTACACCATTCCTGTTGTTTAGAGGCTAATACACGTCTAAATCGAGAATCCAACATCATCAACAAATACTCAAATATCATGGCTCTTTTTATTGAACTCATCAAATTCAACAATTCTCAACTCAACGAACCTTAAGCCCTATTAAATCCTTCAAAATATTCTCTAAATATTTAAAAGAGGGTTAATCCATATACCTCACTCGAGGATTAACGAGAGACGATGAAGGAGATTGGAGAAAACGACTCGACTACTCGCTGGCTACCTCCCGGCTCGCACTCGGCTATCAATTCTCATGTACGGTCGCTGCAGGGTTCACGGGCATCTCAACCACGACTACTTGTTGCTGCTTGTGAGTCGTCGGCTATTCGGGCCGCTAAACGAAGGCCGACGGGGGCTGACAAGACCTCTGGCGAGGTGAAAAGGGCCAACGTGTTTCTACTGCTACTTCTCCTCTTTAGTGGAGGTACGGGCTGCCGACGTGAACGGGCCCGACCTTGAGCTTTTCGATGAACAGGGGGTGAAGGACTCCGGCTGCTTGACGATGAACTCATCGGAAAGGTCCCCGTTGCTCGCTGGACGAAGTCGCCGGCTGAAGCTTTGACGATGAACGAGACTTGACACGACGAGACACTACTCGCCGACATGGCCACCCCGGCTAATTCGCTGCTGCTATGGACGGGCAGGAACCTTCGTGGATTGAGGCCGTGAAGTGCTGCTCATTTCTCTGTGGCGCCGACCGAACAAGGGCTGAAGGGAGAAACACACCGGCGAAGGGCCGCTGGTGTGATGACGATCGATTTAAGGCTGCGATAGGGAGGGATTGGGTCTGCTCGAAGAACGTCCGATCTTCCTCGTCTCCACTCGAACAAGTCGCTACTCGCAGCTTCTCTCTCTCTCTCTCTCTCTCTCTCTCTCTCTCTCTCTCTCCGTGACCGGACGACGATGGTGGAGAAGACGATTGAAGGGTTGGGATTATTTGAGCGATTTGAGCGAAAATTCGATCGGCGGAACAAAAGGTGTAATCTGCTGAGATCGATTTGCGGCGAGTTTGGGTGAGATTCTGATCGAGGGAGAAAGGGTTCTGCTCGATATACACAGGCGTGAAATAGGTTTAATGTGGGCTGAGATCCCTACTTACAATTTGGGCCGAATCTAATGCTAGTTGATGGACCGAGAATAGTACAATTTTGGGCCTAAAAAAATAACTTAAAGGGCTAGAGAATTGGATACGAAAAAAAAAAAAAAACAAACCAGCAAATTTTGAATAGCCAACGACTATTCGAAAGTTTGAATAATTTAACTAGACTTCATTGTCTAGATAAATCAATTTTCTCAAATGATTAAATAGACGTGATCGTCTAATTAATTTGAAAATGGCTAAAAACGGCCACGACGACTATTAAATAAATAACTCGGCCAACATCGAATAGCTAACGAATAATCGATATTCGAATAATTTAAATAGACTAAATTGTCTAAATAAATTTAATTACTCAACGGATTAAATAGACACTAACGTCCAATTAGTCTGAAGAACTGGTCGAGCATAGATAATTAAATGCAGTTGTTGCATAAATAAAATAAATAACCCATAAAAATTCTTAATTCAAACGGATTATATTCCGTTCACACAATTAAACCAAAATCGCCGAACAACGAACGTTTTTCGATAAAACGATCGAGTACTCCAACCTTTTATTTAAGTCGACATCGCAACTAATAAATTAAATATAACCTTATAAATAATATTTGATAAATAGAATATCCGGAGAAATTCTATAAATCGAACGGGGCGCTACAGCAACCACATTTTCACACGACCCCAAATCAATAATAAACCGACACACACGGTCACCTACCGTACACGTAGATTCGAAAATGTGATGACGCTGAAGAGGTTCGTCAGAAGCGGCTCGCGGAGATAAGCACGAAAACCGAAGGACGATAGCTGTTCCGACATCCCCGTGAAGATGCTCCACCATCTCCACTGGTTCTTCATCAAAACTAGGTGGCGCATCATACGCCGGCTGATCTTCTTAGTCGCCAAAAATATCGGCTAACATCGTACGCACTCTGCCTAACCGAGGGCAAGCCGATTGGCGGTGACCCACTTCGCCGCATGAAAAGCACCTAAGTTCGCCACCCTGCCGCTGTCCAGATGTCAACCCCGCAGCTGGGACGGAGCTTCCCTGACCAGACGTCCCCGTGCAGCCCGTACCGTTCCCCAACGACGCCATTGCCGAACTGCCCAAGCCCGAAGTCCCAGCGACCGGACGGCCTCCTGAAAATCCTGCCGCCGAGCTGCCCGAAACTGTCACTGGTCGCGCCGGAAAGAAAGCAGAAGCATTCCTCTCGGAAATCTGTAGGTCGGCCATGAGGGTGCGTTGATGTACATCAGAAAGGGTGTCCGAAATAAACATATTGATGGTGTCCTAGATCAGTACACGAAACCCGATAATATAACAATAAATTAGTTGATCCGTAGTCTCACGACTATCAATACGTGTAAGCAGCTTATAGAACTCTTCAGTGTATTCGTCAACCGATCGAGTACCCAGTCGAAGAGTTTGAAACTTTTGATAAATGGTCCGAACATAATTGAAAGGCAAGAATTCTTCCTCCATATGTTTACGAAGTTTATCCCAAGAATTAATTTTGGATTTACCCTGTCGATGTCGCCTTCCTTCGAGTTCCGTGAACCAAGCACCAGCCCGGCCACGCAATCGCGTCAACACAAGCCCCACACGGCGATCATCTGGGATGCCCTTGAAGTCGAGGACCCTCTCTACAGTAGTAAGCCAATCGAGAAACTCAGCAGCATCGAGCCCACCTGAAAATTCCGGCACCTCCACCTTGAAGTTGGATTCCCAGCTATTGTCACCACCCTCAGCCACACGATGAGGTCTGCGCCCTTTGCCCCAATCCTCGCCGTCCTTGTGTTCCGCGTGCCGACCACCTTCGTTATTGTCTCGTTTGCCCCGCTGGTTGCCGAAAGGGTTAACATCCGACATGGTGTCCTCGCCGTTATCATAGCCGTGCGCCGGAGGTGGCGATCGATGACAGGGCGCCCCGCCATGCCCTCTGCCCCCACGCCCGCCGCGATACCCATCGCGACCCCCACGACCGGCCAGATCGCGGTCTGTCTGCTCACCCGCGATCATGGTACGTATGGTCAGTCGAATTTCTTCGATCCTCTCAGGAAGTCCTTCGACCCGGCGATCCACACGATCGATTTGGAAGCAGAGATCATCCGTTCGTCGATCCAAATCCTCAAGATGGGCATCACGTCGGTCGTTATCGTTTCTTTTTGGCGGCATCTTGAATCGTCCTGGTCTACTAATACCAACTGATGCAGGTAGAAGCTTACGAGTGGGAAAAGAGTCAAGAACTCAAGAGATATTTATTTCTGATCGTCAAAAACCAACGAAGAACGATGGGGATCACCCAGTAAATAGACTCCTAACCTAAAATTATTTCTCTAATTAATTAAATCAACAATAATTATTTTTCTAATAAATAAAGGCAACAAATAAAAGAGAGTAAAATAAATAATACCTACAACAATATATCATCTAGATCTGAAGCCGATCATATCTCTCCAAATACACCAATGCGATCTCGTCGCCATCAAATTTACTGAATTTATAACAAGAAATCTGAATTACGAATAATCAGATGCAAATATAAAATAAGATAAACTGATTTTATTAATTTGAAATCTACATAATTAGTGCTAAAATATACCTGTCACTTACTAATAAATTTAAAATGGTAGCAATGTAATATTGGAAAAAAGAAATTTGGTCAACTTGAATTGAAAAAATATTACAGTAAGCAAAATATTGTGGCTAACCATAGTTAAAACTACTATAGTTAGATTAAACCAAATTATGTATTTATAAAACATGAGATAAACCACTCATTCAACATTCACCACCTTTATTTTCTTTTCCAATTTCATACTAAATTATTGAGCATTTTTCAGATTTTTCATTTCATTTCTTTTGAGGTGTTCTATCTCCCTCATTTCAGCTTGGTGAGGAAAGGTTCAGATTAGCACCAAATCTTGTTTATTCCAATTTCTTAATTTTGTGCTTTTCTATTCTAAAACCAAAGTTATAACAGTAAATGTGTCCCCTTTTTTTTTATTATTATTATTTATTTGGGAAGTGTAATTTTTTGTGTTGATTTTTAAATCATGAAATTAACTCTTACTTTTTCCTTTAATTCTTCAATTATACAGATTCGTTGCTAGCTCTCTGAGTTTTGGAATTTGAGGTACGTTTCTGATTGTCTGACTTAACTGCTTTTTGGATTGTTTTGTGCTCATTATTTGTTTATTGAATTCATCATTCCTTTTCTGTTTTATATAATTTATAACTTTTGGAATGAAGTTTATATATGTGATTATGATTTCTACTGAATTAGCTATAACTGATGGGTGTGCTTTTAATTTTTGTCTTTATTTTTCTTTATTTCTTTTTCCTCTGCTATTTGATGCTTAAGCAATCATGTAAAGTTCTTTTACTGTTGATGATTAATGTCAAATTTAGAACCCGGATATTCTTGGCTTCACCAACCTAAGAATTCTTAGTTTCATGTTCATGTAATGGCTTAACTTTTAACCAAAACGTTCATTTACTCCCAAACTTTATATATAGTCGTTTTTGACGGGTAAATTTTTAATCAGTCCTGAATCGACCGTTATAAGCATTCGTTGAGAAAAAAAAGGTGACCGTTGAAAAACGGTTAGGATGACCGGTTTTTAATGGTTTGGTCGTTGAGATCATGTACGAGACACTTCACCTACGGTTTTACAACATGTGACCAGGTGTTTCGAGACGAGCTTTCATAGTAAAGCCATGTATAATTATTATGAGAAGCTTATATAGAAATGTCAAAGATAAAAAAGTAAAAGGTAGAGTAATAATCGACACGTTCCGGTTTTGGATACTCGTTTTGGCTTTTCCAAATTTGGCCGAATGTTGTTTCATTACTGACATTAAAGTTTTGTCTTTCAAACTACCATGCATTCATCGTGACGGCAATGACCAGTTCTTGTTGTTAAATATAGTAAAAACATCTAAGATATTAACGTGCCGCGTAATAGAATATCAGATATTATCAAAGCTGTAGCTTCAGGCAAAGTTTTCGAAATTCACCACTGAATATTGGATCAAATGGGGTTCAACTATGGATCCGAGAGTTCGTCAACAATGCAACAGACGTGTTTGGAACTTGAACTTCTTCTCTTTGTTTGGTTGTTTGTTTGTTTGTTTGTTCAACATTCTTGAAATTAGATTTATTATTCCAATATTATTGTGTCAGGATGTGCTTATTATGATCATATAATCTTCAGTGCTAAAGCATGGTACAATCATGATCTAGAGTCTGTACATGATGTTTATAGATGTGCATTTTGTTAACACATTTTCTCAAATATAAATTGAGTTATGTTATATATCAAATGGGCAAAATTTCAAAAATGGTTCACTATATTGGCCGTTTTCCAAAAAATATCCATCATATAGGGCGTCACAAAAAAATGGTCCACTAAGTTGCCACTTTAATCAAAATTCGTACAAAAACCAATACAGCGTAATAAAAGTGATTGCCATTTTTTGTACTTGTAGAGTTGTGATGAAAAGTGGCAACTTAGTGGACCATTCTTGATGACACCCTATATCATCCCTATATCATGGACCTTTTTCGGAAAATGACCAACATAGTATACGAAAAATAAAATTTGGCCAATATATCAATGCATAGCATTAATCTTGAGTGCTTAGCCCTGATTTATTTCTCCTCTCTCCCAAAAATTTTTCAAAAAGAAAAAAGACAAAATGGATTGCAACAGAGACGAGGCCGCACGCGCGAAATCAATCTCCGAGTCCAAACTCGCGCAGAAGGACTTCACAGGCGCCCTTCAATTCGCGCAGAAAGCCCAAACTCTCGACCCTAGCCTCCACGGCATCTCTCAGACAATAACCACCATCGACGTGCTCGTCTCAAGCAACCGTACCATCAACGGCGAAGTCGACTGGTATGCCATCCTCCGAGTGGACCCCACAGCCGACGAAAACGACATCAAGAGGCAGTACAAGCGCTTGGCCCTTCTCCTCCACCCAGACAAAAACCCCTCCGCAGGCGCAGAAGACGCCTTCAAGCTCGTCTCCGAGGCCAAGACCCTTCTCCTCGACACAGATCGCAGGCGGGCCCACGACCTCGTCACGGGCCGCGGGCCCACCAACGAGCCTCCTCCCCCAAAGCCCGAGAGGAATTTGGGCCGGCCCACATCCTCCGGCCCACCAGAGGAGGATGTGTTCTGGACCTTCTGCCACCACTGCGGGTTGCAGTTCGAGTACTTGAAGATATTCCGTGGCACGATGCTCGTGTGCGTGAACTGTCACGGGACGTTCATGTCGTTCGAGATCGAGCGGTCGAGGGCGCGCGGGGCACGCCCATGGGAGGGCGGCGGGGGACTCCCGGCGGAGTGCCACACGGGCGTCTACTCGTTTGCGTACGCCATGTATCGGCGGCGGGGGGGCCCGCTTTTCGGGGCCAATGGGAATTAGGTATAATTAATGTTTTTTAAGTAATGGATGATTTGTATTTGGTGAAATGTGTGTTGTTAAGGAAAGACTATTGTTGTTGTTGATTGTTTTTCTTGTGAGGGTAATGTAGTATTGTTATTATCTGCAATCATAGACAGGATGGTGGTTTGATTGTTTTTCATTGTTAAATTTTAGATGTTATGTATCATCAATTACCTTATTTTTAACTGTTTTTTTCTTGACTTTGGTCAAGTTGATTTAACTTGTTAGATATCAATCAAACGTGTGCATATACTATGCAAAATTTAAAAGAAGATAGATTTTGTAGTATTTGACTCATCAATCTGTTCTCAATCCAACAGTTCAGACTATCTCCGATCACTTTGGAGCTTTCTGCTGGCTTTCATAAATCACCTGAATGAATGAAGATGCAGCATGTTCCACTTTAATGTTCTGTTCCTACAATGAAGTATTCCCGTCCGTTTGAACAGCTTGTTTAGTGTTCACAAAGGAGCACTATTATTTGCTTGTCATAGACCATAAAATGTAATTTCTATTTCAGATCTTTTCAATCGATTTTTATCATTCATTCTTTCCACAATTCAATTTAATGAGATTCAAGTTGTAATAAACTTTATTTATTACTTCTGTATTTATACGATGGCATCCACTAACCACCACCTCATAAATACAAAAATTTCAACATCCAAATTAGCCATTAAATCCAGGTCAAAGTTGTATAATGATTCACCATCTTTTTAATTTACATGCCATTTTCTTTAAAGGNAACGATAATTATATTAATAACTGAAAACTCAATCTGAGTACATCCGAAATGTCAATTGACACTACTGGAATCAGAACTAAGTCTGCACCAGCCTCCCTTAGAATTAGACAGGCAACCAAGGACGTACTTACACTCACACAACAAAAGCTCCAAAAAGGAGACTAAACAAATCCATTAAAGAGACTAGAAACCAGACAAAGCTGCACTGATACTACACACAACAGCAAAACACAAAAACAACAACACGCGCCTAATAAACAAATAAAATAAAATACTCCCTATGTTCGCTAATTATTTTCGCTATCCGCAAGTGTACGGAGTAGCTATAGGTAGTGGCGAGCAAGGTCGTATTCCACAGAGATTGTAGTTAAATTAATTAAGTACCAAAATAGAGACGATTAAATATTATTTAGACTAACAAACTGGGATGATGATTATAAACTAAGAGATTAAACTAAAGACTAATTTACCTAAAGAAATAAAAATAAATCACGATATAAAAGATAGATTCTAGGCTAAGCGTTCCTCGGAATTAATTTATGAAACGTTTATATTCAAACAAACCTTATTTAATTTTACCAATCGTAGAGATAATCGCTAAATTGATTTCAAACATTTCTCTCGAATAAGTTAAATCGTAGATATTAATTGTTATCTATCTCCTCTCGGTCTCAAGATGAACAACTAACTCCCATAAGTTCCTAGGATTTTCATTCTCTCGCAAGGTCCTATCAACCTCTCGGTTTGTTTATTCTCTTACGTTATAAATTTTCTAATTCTAGCAATCAATTGTCTCCTCTCGGTCTCAAATCAATTACAAATATGCATTCATAGCGGTCGTCTACTCACACAATAATAATAAGCACAAGAAATTTATAAACGAAAGATAAACCGGAATGAAATAAATAAAAATAAATCATAAATCAATCCGAGTACTAACAAATCCTAGAATCTAATATAAATCTAGCCTAGAAACATGATTTCAAAATAAGAAAAATAGATATAAAACATTGTGTTCGAAAGAGAAAAAGAAAAAGAAAGAAAAAGTTTATTCGGCTCCGTCGATACTTACTTCTCGGCTTTCTCCCTCGTCTTGCTCGTGTTTCTAGCCTCCAAAGCTCTCCAAAGATTTAAAAATATGTCCAAGACTCCTCAAAAACGTGTCCAAGGGTTGTATATATAGTTGAGGTCGAGTCCTAGTCGAAATAGGTCGAAAATACCGAAAAAAATAGAAAAAACGCGTAAATTCGGATTTTGTCGTGCCCAGGGTCACACGACTCGTGTCATAAGACACACGAGTCGTGTGACAAAGTCGAGAGGACGATTAACGACCCGTCAGAGCGAAACGAGCTGTGTCTCGGGCTCACACGACCCGTGTGAGTCCGGGCACCAAAAATAGCTCGAACTCTTCAGTTTTAGCTCGTATATATGCTCTTGGTCGTTTTCCGGTGTCCCAGTCGACTCTCGGTGATGAAATACGTCCAGGTCACCGGACATGGCGGGCTCCGGTCAAATTCCGGCCATGGCGTCCATCTGCGTGGAGGTGACGGGTAGGAGCAGCCCCTCTCGGTTTTCTCTCCTCAACGACGCTCTATTCTTCGGTCGGAGCTCCGGCGGTCCTGTGATGGTCGAGGTGGTCCGGCTTGGTGGCGAGTTTCAGCAGTTATGGCGGATGGTGGATGGTGGTGGCGTGAATGCATGATGGCGTTGAGTGTGGTGAAGAAGAAGACACAATGCTAAAATGACTCTTATACCCTCACTTAGTTGCTTTTGGGCTAACCCAGTTACAAACTAATTTCAATTAGGCCACTTATTCTTATGAGGAAATTACACCATTCACTACATCTTAACATTTTTATTACATAATTATAACTCATATATATTTATTTGCAAATTAACTAAACTATCATATTTATTTACAAACATACTAGATTATTGAAATATGGTAAAAGCAAATTTAGTGGGATCTATAATTATCACACGCTTTCTCTCTCTCTCCCTCTCTCTATTCATCTTCTTCTTCTCTCTCCCTCTCATCACCTTCTTCTATAATTTGCCCCAAATTTCAGAATCCTTCTTCTTCCTCATCGATCGATTTCGCTCAAAATCTCATAAAACCCTTCGTCTAATTAATTGATCGATCATCATCAGAATTTTAGAGAAAAGATTTTCTCACAACCCTCTTCGTCGATCCACCATAGCCGCGCGACGTCTTCATCAGATTCTTGTCCGATCAACCATGGCCATAGCCGTGAAGCCGCGAGTTCCGACCGCCGTGCAGCAAGGGAGAACCAAGGGTCCCGAACAACAGCAACTCCTTCTCCCTCGGGCGACATTCGATCAAGTCTGAAGCCAAGAGACGAGCCGTCGCCGACGAGCCTCCACCGTCGGGATTTTCGAGAAAGGCAGACATAAATCGCTGCACCCATCTCGGGAATTTCGAAAATCCACTACAAAATGTTCAGGAATCAATACGACACCGACGAGATGACGTGGTTGCCGGCGGGGCGGCTGTTCCAAGTGGAGTACGCGATGGAGGTGGTGAAGCAGAAGAGTTCGAGACGATGGAAGAAAAAACTGGAAATTGGAGACTGTGGGTGGGGGCCATGAATTAATCGGGTATATGTTATGTATGTATAGGGTATATGTTCTGTATAATATAAGGGCTACCTTATTTGTATGTATGGTTTATATTGACAAAGCATAAACTGATGATTTTTCTTTTGTATATGTATGGTTTATACTCGGTATATTTTCAGTATTTTTTCTCATGACATTAATAGGAAGACGTTCGATAGTATGTAATAGTTAAAAATTTTCGGTATATTTTCTCATGACATTAACAGGAAGACGTTCGATGGTATATTATCAGTATATTCTCGGTATATTTTCTCATGACATTAACAGGACGACGTTCGACGGGTATATGTACAGTATATTTGCAGTATATGTTAAAGCAATATATATAGGCGACGAAGATTTCGTGAAATTTCGTACTCTTTGCCCGATTTCCTGAAATTACGCGCTAGGAACATGGAAGGTTGTTCCACTTACCTTGTAATTGATTTTAGGCATGATTATAATTAATATTTATATTTTAGGTATATACACAATTTAATTGGTATGGATGGTAATATTGCAATTATCTAAAAATCTGTAAGTATATATGAAAATTTCCCTATTCTTATTGTGCTACTATGTAGTGGACCTTCAGTGGGCTGTACTTGGGCATATTCCAATACTTGACTCTTATTCGTTATTCGTCCGTTTTAAGCGTTTTTTACTCCAAAAATTAATTCGAACAATTTCCTGTCAAAACTCAAAATAAAACACCTCACCATAACTTAATAAATATAACTAAATAATTAATTAATTAAATAATAATTAATTAAATATAATTAATTTTATATCAAACTACGACGAAACGAAAATAAAAATCACTATAAAATGCACGTAAATATAACGCATGTCACCCTACACCAAGCTAGCACACCACAAAACAAATAAAATATAACTCTCCCTACACCAAGCTAGCACACCACACATGAGCCACGCCCTTTAGCACAAAATCTCAAGAGAGCTGCAAATCCAAATTCCAGAGCCAAAATTTGCGATCACTTGAGCCGTCTAGACAGATTTAGCGATGACTTAATTCTCAGCCCAGATTTGTACTCCTAAGGATTTCAATGCCAAAGGGGGGAAGCGACACGATTAGCAACACCAGTTATCCGACACTGACACCTCCATGACCGAGAAAGGAAAAGCTATAAAGACCCCAACCAAGACAAGAGGAAGAGATGACGTAGCCTCTAGCGCCTCGAACCTGCACTCCCTTGTAGCTTCGAAAGGGGTGACAGAGAAAATTTTGTGTGTGCGTGTGTGTGTGTATGTGTGTGTGTGTGTGTGTGTTTGCTATGCGTGTGTGTGTTAGGTTTGTGTAGGTGTGTGTTGTGTGTGTTTTGTGTGAGAGAGAGGGTAGGTTAGTGGTATTAGTGGTGAGGTCCACTGGCAGTGTGTAATGTTTAATTTACCCCCAATTAGTGGTCCAATGTTTATATTTGACCATGCTGTATAAAATTATTTACGGGAATGCCACTCATGTTTGATTACCACTTATTAAATTTTGACTTGATCATGACCACTGATTTGATGGATCCAATGGTCCAGAATCATTCTTATTTCTTTCACTAATATTCTTTCTCATATGATCCACAATAAATATATATATGTGTATATATATATATATATATATATATATATATATATATATATATATATGATTGACTAGTTTAATCAATTTTGACTTCATGATGGCCATTGATGTGGTGGATCTAATGAGCCAAAATTATTCTTATTTCTTTCATTGTGAGTCAATCAATTAGTTACTTTGTACTTTTGCCTATTTTTTTCCATTTTCGGGCATGTAATGTTAGATTTTTATCAATCAATGAATATTTTGTGCACTTGCAGAAATTATTGAGCAAAATCATCATTTATTTGGCATATTTTACAACTTGCCTAAATTAATTTCCAACATTTTTATCACCGCTTTCAAACATCCCTCCTATATATAATTACAGAATGCGTTGAGTCTAAGTGGCAGACTCGCGCTCTTCAGAATCCTACTTGACGAAAAATTATGCTTCGTAATTTAATTTGGATAAAAAATAATGTTATTCTAAAACAATAATTTTAGGTTTGGAATCTCATAAATATTGAAAACCTGGATCTTTTCAAATCGTCTCGCGACAAAAACCCTTCCCCCAAATCCGAGAGGCTCTTCCAAAATCCGACCAATTGGCCTTCCCTGGTGACGGCGTAGTACCGGCCATAGGTCGTCGTGGACCGCCCCTCCACCCCTTTGACGACATGCGAATCCGACGCCCCACAGATGGCCGGATTTGGAGACCTGGCTATCGATTGCAGATGGGATCTTGAGTGGCGGTATAGTCCTTCCTGGTTGGATTTTCGTCTGCGATTGGGGTCCTCAGTCGCTGGTGGAGGTCCAACTTGTGGTGGTAAGTCGTTCGACACTCCTTGTCTTCGATTGATGTGCTCTGCTTTCGGGTGGAGTTCCGCCTCTCAGGTGGGGCTCAGCTTTCTGGTTGTTGGTGGTCTGTGGTGGTGTTGGTGGGTGTGTGAGTTAAGGGGCGGGGTGGGACTCCTGTGGCTGCGGCTGGTTTGTCGCGGTGGTCGGGGTTCCGGGCTTGCCATTGTATATTGCCTTTTGGCGTTGTTTTAATAAAATCGTTTATGTCGTTGGAAAAAAAAAATTTATTGAAAAGCTAACTTGAGTAATTCCATAATACTTTGAGTAATATAACCCGTAATTTGTTTTGTAAACTTACTTATCGTTGTTTATATGACTAATATATATAGCCCTAAAACTTGTTTTGGAATCTCTCACTTTTCCAAATTGAATGTTACGATCAAAACGATTAATATATAAATTTTTTTTATACATATGATTAATTTTTATATATAATATATCAAATTAATCATTTCTTGATGAACTTTGATTTGACAACTATATTATACATATAAAATAATTAAATAATTTTATCTATATTTATAATTAAAATTAAATTATCTATTATATCTATTCAAAAAAAAATATAATTATTTAAACTAACTTAACTACAAAGTAGTTGTCTGAAATAAATTAGAAAAATATATAATATAAGATTATAAGTCGTGTAAGTGACGGTGCCAATTTAAATATAAATAATAATATATTTTTCAAAAAAGTATTTAAATGCTAAAATAATTTTTGTTGTTATTATTACTTAATTTGACATATAATTTTCTTAACAAGTACTCATGTACTACACGGATTTTGTACTAGTTATCATTATTCCAAATTTATGTTCAATGCATCTAAGACAATTAATTATGTAAAGTACGTTTTTAATTAATTGATTAAAATTAATAATTCAAAAATAATAATAATAAACCATGTAAAAAAATAATGCAAAATAAAAAATTAAAAAGAATTATGCACTTTATTACAAGTATAATAAATGGAGCAATAGTTTTTTCAAATTAATGGAACCATACCCAACCCTTTATAATGCACTTGATTCTAATAAACTTTTTAGAAAATGAGTTTGAGATAGACTTGAATTCTTTCCTCTGATAGTGATTTCCTCTCTATCTTTAGTCTTTACAGCTCAGGTTGATTTCATTCATGCACAACTTCCATATCCAAAACACCTTTCCTTTCCTTCTTATTTATTATGCTCAATTAAACAAATGTGTGTGATTATGTAGGTAATTTATTTCTCCAATTCGTTGCCTAAATTGTCTTATTAAAAGCATTATCTGGCGCATGCATCTCCATTTGCAGGTTTAGGACATGGTAATTAAAGCCTCTTTATGGGCCATTGAATGACTTCAGATTTTAAAAAAGGTTCTACTTTTTCTTTTCAGTTGTTTGTGGGGCAAAGCTGGTGGCGGGGCGGCTTCCAAGGTTTGGATTTTTCTGGGCATATGTTTTCTGATGTTGTGTTTGGGAATATATATGTTATGTGTGTACTTCTTAGTTGCTACACAAAATTGGTTTGGCTTCTCAGTCCTTAGTTAAGAAAAGGTACTATCAAATTTTGGGAATATATTCATCTTAATTGAACTTGAAAACATTGTTGTGTATGAGAACTTTTTTTTTTTTTTATCTCTTTTTTTCTTCTAATGGGCTCTTCCTTTCATCCATTTTCCATATCTTTTTTTATTCACGCTGTGACATGAAACTTCAAATTATTGAGTTTGGAAAAAACCCATTTGTAGATCGTTTCTAACTAATTGATTATTTGAGTTTGTTTGAGTGAATTGTTTTGTGCTATTATTTTGCTCTCCCAAGAAGGAAGTGTCTCTACAATTTGAGTTTGAGTTTGTTACATTTTCGCCCTGTTATAACTAATTAATATAACGAATGAATGCATGAACTTCTTCTCTACTAAGAAAAAACCAAAAGTAAGTTGCAATTGTTTGCAGTGGTTAAATATATCGATTTGGAATAAAACTTATTTGAAAACCCGTTCTTAATTTCTCTGTCTTTTTTCTTAGTACTTGGAAATGAAATGTGAATGAAAAATGTGATTGTTTTTCGATACCGTAGATCGAGTTGATGGATTAGTCATCATATTTCTGCTGAAACTTGTTTTTCCTTTTTCCTGTTTAGTTTGAAAAAAAATGGTGAGAAGAAGAGTGGATCTCCGTTCAGACACTGTAACAAAACCAACCGAAAGCATGCGTGCAGCCATGGCCAGTGCTGAGGTGGATGATGACGTATTAGGAAATGACCCAACTGCCCTTCGTCTGGAAAAACAGATGGCAAGGATAATGGGCAAAGAGGCTGCTTTATTTGTGCCCTCGGGCACTATGGCAAACCTCATCTGTGTTCTCACTCATTGCCAGATCAGGGGCAGTGAGGTCATTCTTGGAAATTACTCCCATATTCATATCTACGAAAACGGAGGCATTTCTACTATAGGAGGCGTTCATCCAAGAACTGTCGAGAACAATGAAGATGGAACAATGGACATTGACCTTATTGAAGGAGCTATAAGAGATCCAAGCTTCGAAATATGTTATCCCACTACAAGGCTCATTTGCTTGGAGAATTCACATGCACAGTAAGATATGCTTGGATATAATTTTTTTTTTTTTTTTTTTTTTATTGGATTTTTTTGTTTGTTTTGGTTAATTTTGAGAAATATGGTATGGTTAGTTGTTAGTGCGTATATTAAAATAATATTTAAAATAAAATAATTGAAGTTGATTTAATGTAAAAGTAGGAGAGAGATTATTTGAAATGATGATTAGTTAAAATTATGTGATTAGATGAATAGTGAATTAAAGTTGATATGATGTGTGAGAATGATTGATTGATATTATTTAATTATATTGATAATATTGATGATAGTGGAATTGAGTTAAAGTTGAGTTAAAAAAAATGGTTTAGTTAAATATGTTGGGATTTTTTGGAATAGATTTGTATCCAAGCATCCTAAGCCTAGTCAATATTATGCAAGTGCTATTAGTTTACATTTATTTATTTGTTTATTTATTTTGACAAGAAATGCTTATATTGGGTACAGTTCTGGTGGTAGATGCCTGTCTGCTGAGTACACAGACAGAGTTGGAGAGCTAGCAAAGAAGTATGGGTTAAAGCTTCATATTGATGGGGCTCGTATATTTAATGCATCTGTGGTGAGTCCAACACTTTTTACACCAAGTTAGTAAATATTTCATGTGAAGAAGCGTAAAATGAGATAATTGGGCAGAGTAAATTACGTTGGGCTTATTCTGTTTCTTGTGTTGTCTCGTGCTTATATTGGTAGTTTCTTACATTTGGTCACATGAGTGAGTTCTCGATGGGCATTGCTAGGAAAATTTAGTGTTGTGTGGAATGAATTGTCGATACACATGTGCTTTGATTGGTATATTGTGGCATTAAATCATGGGTTTGCAGCCTCTCTGTCCTAACTCTGTTCTTTAACTAAATGTGAAGAAAAAGTTGATGTTGAAGTTGCATCAAAGGCAAGATGGTCAGAAATTTTACGTGTTATGAACTTTATTCTGCTAAGATTCTCATGGAAGCTGTATTGTTGATATACATAATCTATCGTACAAAAATTTTTGTAATTAAATGCCTGTTTTCCAGGCTCTTGGAGTACCCGTTCATAGGCTTGTACAGGCTGCTGATTCGGTGACAGTAAGCTCAATATTCTTCTTCTTACACATTTAATTTAATTTGCTTCTTCTCAAAGATTTTCCCTTTATGTACTGTTTTCAATATGTGATGTAGGCTTGCCTGTCAAAAGGTCTTGGTGCTCCAGCTGGCACTATGATTGCAGGTTCAGAAAATTTCATTGCCAAGGTATAAATACTGTGTCTAATTTTCCTGTTCTTCTTCCTTGGGACTTTGGGATTCTGTTTGTGTAATAAGTTGATTTATTTATATTTGGTGCTTAATGAAAGGCCAAGATTCTTAGGAAGACATTAGGTGGTGCTATGAGACAGATTGGTGTTTTATGTGCTGCTGCTTTGGTTGCATTGGATGAAAATGTTGACAAGCTAGCAAGTGATCATAAGAAGGCTAAGATTTTGGCTGGTAAACATTTCATTATCATGGTGTTGCATTTTTTTAAATATTATATTATCCATTATGCCTCTATTCACAACACATTTGCCACAATCTTTGTCAGAGGGGCTCAACAATATCAAGGGATTGAAAGTTGATATACCGTCTGTGGAGACCAATATTGTAAGTTAAGTTAACTTTTTTTTTTTTTTTTCATTTGAAATTTCATAATTTTTTTGTTTTCTACTTACCATAACTTTGATCCTAAAGTTTGTAATAATGTATTTTTTGGTTAATTATTTGAGTTCTTACATTATTTGCCTTTTTGAAGTAAAGGGAGGAGGGGGGAATGCTTGCTTATATTATTCATGTTGCATTAATATGATTTTAGTGCACTAAATTATCATCTAATTGGGTCGAGTCTGAGCTTAATTGCGCGCTACATTATTGAAAATCCACTCATTTCCTTGTTTGCATGTTCGAAGGTCTACTTTGATATACTAGAGGACTTGAATATCGCAGAACTGATGAAAAATCTAGAAGCACATGGAGTACTTGTGATGGCAGAAGGTTTGCGCAAGTATGTCCTCTTCTTTGTTATCTTTTGATCATATTTTTTGATTATATATTATAGTTTGATGCGTCTTAAGAATTTTGAGTTCATATTAGATCCTCCATTTTTTCCTATGTTGATTTTAGTTCATATCAGCTAAAGCTGGTTCCTGTTTTGAAATATATGAACAAACGTTTTAATTAATTTCTCATCACATGTCAGATTGAGGCTGGTAATTCACCATCAGATTTCAGAAAACGACGTGCACCATACACTTTCTTGCTTCCAGGTAATTTTTTATGGCATCACATCTTCCTCCTTTTTTATTATCCTAAAATTGGAGCTTATGTTGATCACCTTCTGAGCTAAACTTGCAGAAACTTATGGCGGGCCGCCCTGGTGAAAATGGTGGCATGTAAGGAGTCTGATTAGCGTCATCTTTTTAATTGTTTCGTGCAATTGGGAAAAATAATTATGTCAAAATTGGTTATGGACATCTGCACAAGTATTTGCTGCTGTGATGCACATGGATAAATTTAATTCTAATAATGTATTTTGATATATATGAATCATGTGCTTCGTATTCATGTTTTAATAATTTTTTTTTATTTGTCAAGTGTTGAAAGATTAGTTAATAATTGGACGTTAGACTTGCTAGCGCATCTAAACTGTGGGATTGAAGGATTGTAATATAACAAATATAAAATAAAGTATTATTGAGTAATTATTTTATTTTATTATATCTTCACAATAATAATTTATTAATTTAACTTGAGGTGTATTTTATTTTTAACATGTGCAACATAAATAAAATATAATAAATTATTTGTATTCATAGTATTTTATGATCTTCAGTTATATTAATTGAATCCGGTTTCGAACAATCTTTCTCGATAGACACGATCGAAGTTGTAACAGTTTTGTACTCCGCTAAAAACTACAAACATCAATTATAACACTTCTTACCTTAGAGTCGAATATTTAGATCAATTAGGAAGATGCACGTGCTAGGCACGTGATATTTTTGCTTTTTTATTAAAATTATTCTATTATTAGATTTAATTTAATAGTATTATATAATTTTATTTTCATTGTTTAACAAAAAATTTTGTTTATTATAAAATATAATATATAATACTATTAACTGAACTCTATGACAAATAAAATTAAATAAAAAAAATATTGGTTAGAAAATCTAAAATAAAATCAATATTTTTTTTGAAATTTTAAATGCTAAAGAAATTTATGTCAACCTTGATTTTGTTATTTAATGATATTATCATTATGCTTAAAATAATAATCATTATTACTGTCAAAATAATAGTTATTTAAAATCTTCCTTTTACTTCATACTCTTTGAAAAATAACTCGAATATACTATAACTATAATTTGTGATTATCATTTTTTTAATTATTTATTGGAAGCTAACACTATGGTTGAATATTTAGTTATCTATTATGTTGATCATAACTGTTGAAAATTCAATTATATTTGCACGTGTAATATTTCATAATATTTAGATATATATTTTCTCTCTGTATATAATGACATAAGAGATATAAATATTTGAAAATATCTTTAAAGTCGTAATTATCTTATAAGAAAAAAAATTATTTGACAATTATTAGGAACAATAACATCCTTGATTAATTAAAGGTGACCATCTATCTATATATATTGCTGTAACATTAGTTGATTGAAGGTACCTATCTATGTATATTGTCCAAAATAAATTATTGTTGTATTTCCTAAAATTGCCATGCATGCATTATCATTTTCATTCATGGATTTTCAAGACTATCTTAAAAGTGAAAATTAAATAACTCTATTTTAGATAAATTATAAAATGATGATTCTTTTATATTTTATTTTTATCTTAATATAATTTTTATATATTTGTATAAAATTTATGTTTCCTACTTTTGTGAAGAGATTTGAAAATTATAATTTATCTATGATTTATAAATAAGATTGGCTAATGAAAATAAATTTTAAGTAAATGCAATATTAATTTTTATTTAATTGATTTTAATTGTAACTATATATTTTTTAAGAAGTACACATATTTTGAAATTCAAGATTCAAAATTGAGTGTTAAATATTTTATTTTATTTTTATAATTAATCTATTTTGATGTATATTACAACTAAAGTAAATGATAGAGTAAATTATGTAACACACATTATCATAAAATAATATTCATACTATACATACTATAAACCTAAATCATATCATGCATACTGTTTTAGTTAATAACTAAATAAAATAATCCTGTTAAGACTACATATTAATTCACTTAACTAAAAAATTTTTCCACAAAAAATTGATATTTTATATGTTGAATAATTATTTTTTATTCAATCATTCTTAAACATATACATGTTCACTAAATTGTTTCTCTTTAAATTTTTTAATGCTATAACAAAATATCTATAGTAAAATAGGATATTTAGAAATTAGAGATGGTAATTTCATTGGTGCATTATATATTTTTCTCTTATCAAATAAATATATTTTAATTACAAAACCTTAAAATAATATTCTCTCTTACATTTAAAAATTATATTTTTCTTAAATTTTATTTTTAATTTATATATTTGTTTAGATAATCTTAACGTCTTTATATCAACTAAGAGAAATTAAATTATTAAATAGGTAACAGAATATAATAAGAGATTATAAGATCATCGATGACCAAAAAAAAAAGTAGAATGAAAAACAAATAGATTGAAAAAGTGATTGTAACTATTAATATTTGTAACTCCGACAAAATCACATTAGTAACCTTAAAAATTAACTATAGCGTATGGAATTTTCGACAATACAATTTTTTCAAGAAACAATTCTCCCTTATAAGATAGTTATTTCAAAATTGAACTTCAATCAATTCAATTATTCTAGGGATTTAAAATTCCATAGTGAAAATGAGTGAAGTTATTTTGATTAATTTCGATTAAGCTAAAAAGAGAGTAGATTATTTATTACATAAAATTGTATTTTTACTTATAAAAAATTATTATTATCGTATTAACTTGTTATCATGATATATACTTCAGTGGATTTTTACTAAATTTTGAAAATAACAGTGAACATTCACGACCATTCAACTGTAATTAGTATTCAAAATATATCTTAGATTAGAGTTGATAATAATGATTTGTAACTCATTTGCTCACATTTAATTAAAAGACTAATACATTCTGAATGTTGAAAATAAGGTCCTAAATTATAGTTTCATTTTTTAAAATTTGAAATCATAAACTCATCATTACATGTAATTTATCTTTATAATAGATATGAGTAAACATTTAAAGACATAGTGATGAAAATAAACATTGATGAAGGTAATTTGTATATAATATGTATTGAAAATTAAAAGGAATATTTATTATTTGGCTTAATACTTATTATTACTTATATGTATTACTAACTTTTCTAAATTGTGGAAGCATCATATTACTTTTTATTTTTTATTTTTTTCTCTATTGCACAAGAAAAATATCTACCATAAATAATGAAAATACAACCACGATAAAAAAAATATTAATTATAATGTCACAATTAAATATTAATTTATAAATTTATTAATTGTAAAATACTATATATCTCATACAGTTTAAATAAAATACACAAAAAGGTATACAAAATACCATAATAAAATAAAAATTGGATATCAATAAACAATTATTATTTTAGTAAAATGTTATTCCTTTTTTTTTCCAAATCCATTAACTGATTAAGTTATATGAACTTTTTACCATGGGTGCAATTTTAGAGAGACGCGAAAGCTATGGGCAGTCGTCTAGTATATTTGTAATTTTTTCTTTAATTAGCTATAAAATGTAATATACATACTTTTTAGACATGATATTCAATATTATTTCTACATTGTCTTTTATAAATAAAGCCTGGTTAAAGATTTTGGATATTTTAGTGGACCGTGAAATGTGGAAGCTTAATACTACCTTTTCTATTTTTCTCTAATTATACATAATGATAATGAAAGTATGATAAAACATAAATGAAAATAAACATTGATGAAGGTAATTTTTAGATAATATTTATTGAATTCTATGTATTACTAACTTTTCTAAATTGTAGAAGCATCATACTACTTCTCTAATTTTTTCTCTATCTCACAAGAAAATTATCCACCATAAATAATGAAAATACAACCACGATCTCCTTCGTGGTTCATTTCTTGCTATGAATTAGCAAATAAGCCTTTTCCCCAAATCCCGTCTTCCCCAAATCCAACCCGTCTTCTTCGAGCTTCATTTCTTCTCGCCGGTCAACTCCCTCAGCCGGCGTCCGTCATCGTCGGTGGACGATCTCCTCCGCTCATCCATGGATGCGGCTCTACCTTACTATGTCTTGTTGTCGCTGAATTAGGGCTAGGGTTCCGACAGAACCAATTTCTGTTCGAGGCCGCCGGAATTCAGTGGTCTGGGGCATGGCGGGGTGGGGTTGCGTGTGGATGACGCTTGTGTCGTCGAAATCGGCTGTGGTCGGGCGTCTCTAGTCGGCCTGTGTTGGAGAATTGCCGTGGGTCTTCCGATTCCCGCAGGGGTTGGGTCGCCGGCTCTGCGTGTTTGCGGGGATGGAGGGTCATGGTTTCTCTTTGCTGGTTCGATTGATAGGGGTGCTCGTTTGGGCTTGGTTGGAGCGGCCGAGCTGGGAAGCCGCTTGTCCCCTTACTCCCCTTGCTCGATTTCCGAGATTTGGGGGAGGCCGACGGTCCCCGGAGTAGGCTAGTGGTGTTAGGCTGCCTCGGTTGGGTGTCGGATCGGCTAGTGGTGTTAGTCGGTGGGGTGGTGTGCGTGGTTTTCTGCGGTTGGAGAAAGGGTCGTGTTCTCGGTTTGTTTTGCGACTTCGGTCATCGTCTTGCTAGGCCTTAAGCAGTGGTGGGCGTGGTATCGGAGTTTTGGAGCTCTCCTCGGAACCGACTTTGTCTGCTGACCTTTTCGGATGTACCTGCTGCGGGAGGTTGTTATGTTCGTGTGTAGTTGTTTTAGGTTTCTTTGTTGCTTGCTGTGGTAGGATCGTGTTTTGGTTTGGGCTCTTTGCCTGGGTGTTCTATTTTGTCTTTTAGGTTTGGGCCGTTGGTCTCGGTGCTCCCGAGTGTCATTTTCATTACTCTGTTGGAGTCCGACACTCGGGAATTGCCCTGTTGGGGCCTTTGTGTTATTAGTTGGTGTTTTTTTATTTTTAGTGTTCTTGAGTATTACCCCGTTGGGGTCGGTTCTAGGCAGGCTTTTGTCCTGTTCTCCCAGTTTTAGCTATTGGCTGCTGTATTCAGCTGTTAGTTTCTGTCCAAATAAAAATACACAAAAATTCTATTAAAATAAAAAAAGAATAGATATCAATATTAACTTATTTTAATGAAATATTAATTTATAAATTTATTAATTGTAAAATACTATATATATCTCTTACAGTTCAAATAAAATACAAAAAAAAGTAAACAAAATAACATAATAAAATAAAAATTAGATATCAATCAACATTATTATTTTAGTAAAATGTTATTCCTTTTTTTTTTCAAAATCCATTAACTCATTAAGTTATATGAACTGTTTTTACCATGAGTGCAATTTTAGAGAGACGCGAAAGCTATATTTGTAATTTTTTCTTTATAAGCTATAAAATGTAATATACATACTTTTTAGACATGATATTCAATATTTTTTCTTCATTGTCTTTTATAATAAAGCCTAATTAAAGATTTTAGATATTTTAGTGGACCCTGAAATGTGAAAACTTAATACTACATTTTCTATTTTTCTCGAATTCACAAGACATGCCCAGAAAATGAAAGTATGATAAAACATAAAGTAATTATAATATCACAATACTAAAATAATAATAATAATAATAATAATAATAATAATAATAATAATAATAATAATAATAATAATGAAATGCAGCAGTATGATAAAAATTAAATGAATCTTAATGTCATATTGAATAACAATTTCATATGAAAAACATTTAGATGACATAAATTAGTGGTATACCTTAATATGCAACAATTTATGATTGAAAAGGACCAACAATTTAGAAAGTGATGCTCCAAAATGCGACTATGCATACTCTTGTCATAAATAAATTAATATTTGTCGATGATGAAGAATAATGGGATGAAATTAATATAAATTTATATAAATAAAAAATAATCGTATATGACGAAGAGAAAATGAAAGAGTTGGAGACAACTTATTTATAATAAAGAAGATAGGTGTGTGGTTGTAATGTGATTTAAATAAAAATTATAATATTACATTTATATCCTTCAAACAAACGTTACATTTTTTTTCTTGAGGATATTATTGGCAATTCAAGTTTCTATTTAAATGTGGTTGGATGAGTTACAAATCATCATTATCAACTCTAATTTAAAGTTAAAAATTACTTTTATGTCATTTAAAGTAACATCTTTTGAGGGTAATATGGGCAATTCAAAATTTTCAAGAAACTACTGACCCTTTTAAGATAGTTATAGATCCATTTTGAATCTTTTGACATATTGAGTTTTGATTGAGTTTGTTGGTTAATCGGTGTTAATTTTGGAAACGTTGATCGAGTTATGTGAGTGGATGAATAGTGAATTAAAGCTGATACGATGTGTAAGGATGATTAATTATTATTATTATTATTATTATTTAATTATATTGATAATATTGAGGATTGTGATATTGAGTTAAAGTTGAATTAGATTTGAAATGAAATTAGATTTATTTTTTTTAATATCTATATCCAAGCACCAGATTCAAGAAGTTTTGCTATGAGCACGGGATCAGAATGGAGAGAAACGTGCCTAGTACGCCTCAACACAATGGTGTAGCTGAGCGTATAAATCGAACGTTGACTGAAAGAGCCAGAAGCTTGCGTGTGCAGTCAGGCCTACCAAAGCAGTTCTGGGCAGAAGCAGTTAACACAGCAACTTACTTGGTCAACCGAAGTCCATCTGTACCATTGGATCACAAGTTACTAGAAGAGGTATGGAGCATAAAAGAAGTAAAACTCTTACATCTTAGAGTTTTCGGGTGTGTAGCATATATGCACATCAGTGATCAAGGTAGAAACAAACTTGATCCAAAATCAAATAAATATATTTTCCTTGGTTATGGTGAAGATGAATTTGGCTACCGCATATGAGATTATGAAAATAAAAAGATGATCCGCAGCAAAGATGTCATCTTTAATGAAAGGGTGATGTACAAGGACCGACATAACACAAGTGCCAACAACTTAGAAGCGAGTGGGCCAGTTTATGAAGAGGTGGAAGATATTCCAGACATTCCTATAATAAGGAATCCTCGGTCAGAAGAATCAAATGAAGAAAGTGAAGTGCAATCAGAACCTTCTACTCCAACTCTTGTATTGAGAAGGTCCTCTCGGCCCCATGTGCCTAACAGGAGATACATGGGCTACATGCTGCTAACTGATGGAGGGGAGCCTGAAAATTACATGGAAGCTTGTCAAACCACAGATGCTAGCAAGTGGGAGCTTGCCATGAAAGACGAGATGAAGTCTTTGATCTCAAATCAGACATGGGAACTAGTCAAGTTACCCATGAGAAAGAAAGCACATCACAACAAATGGGTATATCGGGTGAAGAAGACCATGATGGTTCTAAGAGATACAAAGCCCGACTGGTTGTCAAAGGATTTCAGCAGAAAGAAGAAGTTGACTATATTGAAATCTTTACTCCAGTTGTAAAGCTCAATACTATCAGGATTGTGTTAAGTATTGTGGCTAGTGAAGAGCTCTATCTAGAGCAATTAGATGTGAAGACTGCATTTCTTCATGGAGACCTAGATGAGCAGATCTATATGCCCCAGCCTGAAGGTTTTTCAGAAGGAAAGAAGGATATGGTGTGCAAATTGAAGAAGAGCTTGTACGGCCTGAAACAAGCTCCATGACAGTGATATAGGAAGTTTGAAAGCTTCATGCACAAGGAAGGTTTCCAGAAGTGCAATGCTGATCACTGTTGTTTCTTCAAGAAATATGAGTCCAACTATATCATCTTGCTACTTTATGTTGATGACATGTTGATAGCAGGATCAGATATGAAAGACATCAGAAAATTAAAGATGCAGTTGTCAAAAGAATTTGACATGAAGGACTTAGGCCCAGCAAAGAAGATTCTTGGAATGCAAATCACGGGAGATAAGCAAAAAGGAGTTTTATAGTTATCTCAGGCGAAGTACATCAACCGTGTTTTGCAGAGATTTAACATGGACAAGGCTAAGCTAGTCAGTACACCTTTGGCTAGCCATTTTCGCCTATCCAAGGATCAGTCTCCTCAAACAAAAAAATAAGAAGAGTTCATGGCTAAGATTCCTTATGCTTTAGCCATTGGAATTTTGATGTACGCGACTCTACGAGGCCAGACATTGGTCATGCAAAAGGAGTTGTGAGCAGGTTTATGTCAAAACCAGGAAAAGCTCATTGGGAAGCAGTCAAATGTATTTTGAGATATCTACGGGGTACAACAGAAAAATGTCTATACTTTAGAAAAGGAGATCTAAAGTTACAGGGCTACGTAGATGCAGACTTTGGAGGTGAAGTTGATCACCGAAAAAGCACCACCGGTTATATTTTCACTGTCCGAGCTACGGCTGTTAGTTGGATGTCGCGGATACAAAAGATTGTTGCTTTATCCACTACAGATGCTGAGTATGTAGCAGTGACCGAAGCCAGTAAAAAATTGATATGGCTTCAAGGATTGTTAGCAGAGTTGGGTTTCACTCAAAAAGAGAGTGTCGTGCACAATGATAGTCAGAGTGCAATACATCTGACAAAGAACTCAGTGTTTCACTACAGAACTAAGCACATTGATATACGATATCATTTCATCAGATCTCTTCTTGAAGATAAAGTGTTGACCTTGAAGAAGATTGTAGGAAGCAAGAACCCGATAGATATGCTAACGAAGGTGGTGACCATTGACAAACTGAAGTTGTGCTCAACTTCAGTTGGCCTGCTAGAGTAACAAGACTAGAGAAGACTACTGCAGTAATTGAGGTGTGAGGACAGATTGAAATCAGTCCTCAAGTGGGAGATTATTAATTCAGCCGCCACTTTTGACAAAGAAATGGCAGCTTTTTGTTGAAAAATGCAACCAAAATGTGTGAAGGCATTAATACTTTGGCTGCTGAAGGTGTGAAAGCATGCTGAACGTGAGCAACTTCTGTGGACAAATGAGTTCATTCCTCTGCTATAAATAGAGCAATAAATGTGCAAAGAAAGATACAACCAAGAACACAGAAAGAAAGAGAAAAAAAAGAGGGAGCAGGAAGCGAAAGTTTTAGCTTCTGTGTGTATTTGTGTTGTGAGTTGTGTGTGAGTTTGAGAGTGTTTTGTAAACACGAGTGTATTTCTTTTTCCCAATAAAATATCTGTAGTAGTCCGGAGACATAGGCATTATTGGCCGAACTCCGTTATCAATTTGGTGTGTCCAATTTTTTATTTACTTCACTTTTATAGATCCGACATCATGGAAAATTCAGCATATTTTTCCCAACATACCCAATTTCAGATGGGTAGTATATGGAGCTCAAATCTTGGTTGTAATTATGGCTCAATGACTGTCGAATATAAGCCCATCACTCACGACTGTCGGGCCATGAAGTCGCCCCTGGCCACTGATCTCATTCACGGTGTCTTTGCGTGGATAAAATTAAAAAGAAAGAGAAAATAGAATTAGAGGTGCTTTTGGATATATGTGTAGTGGGTTAAAATTAGTTCGAAGGGGGAAGAAGAACTATACCAAGATATGGATTAGTGGCTATGGAGAAAGGGCTTATCCAGAATTTTCTTCCAAGCTAAATTCTCCAAAACCTTACAAGTACATCTTCTCTCTCAATTTGGCATTGGCACCCTAAAGGTCTGCTAACTGTCAAAGGGGTCTATAACTCAATCTTAAATTTTCAGAATCAACAATCTGTGGATACAGGCTCTTGCTCAGGTCAACCATTACTGGAGAACATGTGGATTACAACCTGGAAGCTCTCCATTGCAGAAAAACTGAAAACCTTTATCTGGAGATGCTGGAATAACTTCTTGAGCACAAACATAAATCTGCTGCACAGAAGAATGGATGTTGATGTCCACTGCAAACTCTGTGGTGAACAGGAGGAAGACCTCACTCATATGCTCTTCAAATGCTCAAGGGCCAAAACCTGCTGGAAACTCCTTGGGATTCAATGGAACATCCTCTCTGATGCAAACTGCAACTTCCAACAATGGTGGCTAAATATCCGTAGAAAGAGCAAAGAATGCCAACTTCCTGACATAATAAGTCTTTCCACATGCCTTTTATGGTGGTTGTGGAAAACTCGCAACACATGGATGTTTGAAGGTAAGTGGGTGGATAAAAAGACAGTGGTTGATTTGGCAAGAAGGGATTGGCTAGAGTTCACCTCATCATCCCTGAAAGATGACCAACCACTGAGTACATCTACTTCAAATACTCTCAACATCACTCCTGTTCAGAATGAGGCTGAGGTAAGGGTAGGGCATCTTTCTATAAGTTTCAGTGCCTTTTTATCGAGGACTGGTTCAGTTGGGGTACGCTGCATTGGGATTGAAATGGGCCAACAGGTTTTTTCTTGGGCAACAGTGCTGGACAATGCAAGATGTCAAAAGTCAGCTCACTTGTTGGCCTTCAAATGGTGTCTCACGCAGCTGTCCTTACATAATGATCATCGTGGCAAAGCCCTAGCCTATTGCTTAGACTCCCTCAACACTATTAATTTGATAACCTCTCAATGCACTCCATCGTCGGCTGTAACCCCCATTCTGTTTGATGTTAATTTTCTGTTTAACTCTTTTGTACCTTCTGTGTGTTTTTTGTAATGGTTTTAGGTGTAGTGCGGCCTTGAAATTAGCTCAACAGGTCTTGAAGAGGAATTAATGTTTTTTCCTTCGTTTCTCAGTTTTTTAGCTTTGGCTATGTGTTGGGACTGTAATTAATTGATTACTCGTGTATGATACATTCTCTTGAGTTTTTATATAAGTTTGATTGATGTTTGGAAAAAAAAAAAACATCTTCTCTCTCTCACACATTTGACCATTTATAATTAATAATTATCATGCTATTCAATTATTGGTGTCGGCAACATCATGGTGATTACATAACTTGTGGGTCATATGCACCAACTTCACTATTCATCTTTAGTCTTCAATAGACTTACACTCACATACATTATTCACATTATTTTATGAAGCATCTAGACACCAATTTACATGCACCGTAGTTAGTATATATTAGTAGCATTTAAATATGCTAAATTTTCTTTCCTGTTCAAATGAAAAGCATGCATAACTGAAATTAGAGTTTGTTACCGTCATAATCTCTCATTTTAGTGTAACATCATTTTGAGATCAATATTGGTATATTTTATTAAATCATATTAAGATATAGTATTATCATGAAATGTTTAAATTATTGTTATTGTGAAAATTTTGTTTGGTACATGGACATGTAGATATTTATGGATTGACCCATATGATGTGAAAAGAAATATGTGTGGCTATACAAACTGGCCAGTGCGGCTCTGCCGCCGGCAGGTGATATTAAATGGTAGCCGACGGGTTAATTGTTGAAATATGAAAAATCATGTGAAATGACCGAGCAGTGTATTCACCGAAATAAGATTTGAACAACTAAGTGAACCGCTCAGTGTATTGAATAATGATGACCGGTGATGGCCAAATGATAAGAGTATTTATTAATGATAACCGGTAACATAGAATAGCAAGGTGGCAACGCCACGTGCAACAAATGAATGGCTATACATATACATGGGCCGGCCAGTGCGGCTCTGCCGCCGGTGACAGACAGTACTAATAAGTGATAGCCGATGAGTGAAATTAATGATACTTTGTATATGGGCATGTGAAAGTTAATTAAAGTCCTTGTCGTGAACAGACCTGATCCAGAAGTATCAGTTGATAAATTCGCCAAATTTATGGAGATATGAATATTGATGAGATGGTACCAGAAGTTACCACATGATTAATGTGATCTCGGAAATTACGACGTAATGATTAAATGATATCCCTGTATAGTGGTACAGGAAGATACCACGTTATGGTTAAACAAAGTGTTGAAATGGTACTAGAAGCTACCATTGGATGATTGAACAAATTGAGAAAGTGGTACCAAAATTTACCAGTTATGGGCGATCACACAAAATGATTTCTCAATATATATTAAATGAGTCTAAGGGACTATATCAGATCGCATTGAGATACGAGATCATACAGATATTACAAAAAAGTGCTTCATAAGAAGCACATGTGATCATGATTGTAGTCATGAAGTACTACACGCTTATCTTGAGGAAAAACAAAATTGATATTATTATTACTGAGGAACAAGTACAAAACGTTCAGATGATGGAAATATGGAGAAGAGGCAGAAAATACTCGATGAATACAAAATACGCAAAAATTTACATAACATAAAAGAAGGGTGCGTCTCGAGAGTATAAATTCTATAACTCTGCCACCCATGAATGATATCTGGGTTCATAATGAGAGATCTTTTTTTTTTTTTTTCCGAAACGATAGAGATATTGTATTAATAAAAACCGCACAAAGTGCGAAGAAAAGGCAGCCAAAGGCTGAATAGTACAACCGGAGACTAGAAAACTGGGAGGCAGATCCAGAGATCGCCTAGAGCCGACCCCAACGGGGTAATACTCGGGCAACACGCACGAAAGCAACGAAAAACACAACCACACGAAACCAACTACACCAACAAAACTAAACAAGACCCCCAACTGAGTAATACCCGAGTGTCGGACACCCACGGAGTAATAAATTTGATACTCGGGCTCACAGGGGCCAACGGCCCAAACCTAAAACACAACGACAAACACAAACACAAAGACGAGACCTAATCAATACAACTCAAAAGAAGAACACTCCTAAAACATAACATAACTAGAGGAAACAACTATAAACAAGAAAACGAAACAAGCCCTTCCAAAGCAGGCAAGACCGAGCTGAACAAGCGGACACCGAGACGACCCAAGGCGAACCCTGTTGCCCAAGATGATCCCCGAAACTGCCTGAAAACCGCAAAAACGGTTGCCTAACGAAGATGAAACCCAAGCACCAGAATTCACACATAGCCGACTCATCCCACGGCCGCAAACACCCAACAAACCCAAGAATCGCTACGAAACTGAGCCCACTAACACCACTAGCATAGCTCAGCCGCAACCGGTTCGATTTCGCTGCCCAAGAAGATCCCCGAAACTGCCTAAAACCCGCAAAAAGGTTGCCTAACGGAGATGAAACCCAAGCACCGGAACTCACCCACAACCGACTCATCCCACAGCCGCAACACCTAATTATCCCAAGATCCGTTGCTAAACCAAGCTCACTAACACCACTAGCATAGCTCAGTGTTGTCAGTATTTTTAACCGGAGTAGAATCGAAAGATTCGTTCCCCGGGTCGTATCGCAAGGAAGGTCAGCCGGATTATTTTGTTCGATTATTCAATCACAAAAGAAGATAAAAATCCTAAACACTCTAATTCAATGATTTGGGTTTCAATTATCAACTACCAACTTTAAATTGAATAAAGTACGAGATGAACAGTAACGAATTAACTGAGAATTTAAAGAGCTAGGGAATCGGGGACAACTGCTTTCGGTTCTTACACAACTACCGGCAATCAATTGCTCGGTTAAAGGAAGTGAATCGTCTCTTGTTTAGAGGTTCACTCTCAATAACTCTTCGTAACAAGAGAGTGAACATATACGATTGACTATCAATTCCAGCAATTCATAGACAATACTTTGACGAACAAGTCTATTCTAAACGAGCCTAAATCGACCAATGTCTCCCCTTTCGGTTCTAAACAATGATTAACTAGGTTATACCGGTGATCAATCTATTAACCCTAAATTGAACTCAACTCGCTTAGATATGAGCAATTAAGAACAAGCAATTATAATTGAACCTAATCAATTATCCCCTATCCCTAGCAGATGGATTTAGCTACTCATAATGGATTTGATCACACAAACATTCATAACCCAAGACATCATCATCAACGAAAGAATTGAAGAAAAATACTTACGATTAATGAAATATCTGAACTCAATCCAATAGTATCCGAATCCAAAGCAAGATAGTAGAGGTTTTTAATCTCTAGAATCGAATCCCAAGAGCAAACAATGATAGCAGTGTTTTTCCCCAGCCAAAAACGCGTAAAAATAAGTCTCTGCCCCCCTTCTAAAACAAACCCTACTCCTAATTATAATAAAATCGCGAAACAAATCTGATAAGAAGTAACTAGCGCCGCTAGAGGGGAGTTAGCGGCGCTAGGGGGGGTTAGCGGCGCTAGCCTCTAGCTAGCGGCGCTAACGATCGAGCAGCGACTTTTGATAATTAGTAGCTAGCGCCGCTAGAGATGGGTTAGCGGCGCTAGGGTCCGGTTAACGGCGCTATGGTCTTGTTAACGGCGCTAGGGTCTTGAGCAGCGCCTTTTCTCTTCATCTCGCTAGTATATGACTAGGTCCCTGAGCTTTTTGTCCCGTTTCGGCTCGCCTAACCTCCCCGGTCGACTTATAAGCTCCCGACTGTCTCGTACACTCCCGGGTTCCACCCGAGCCCGAACATTGTCCTTCACATGCTGGTCTGCACGACTGGCTGAACGATCCTAGAGCAGCGTGTCGAATACCTGAAACCAACACCAACCGAGAAAACACGGAAACAAGAGAATAGGAAGAAAGAACTACGAAAACACGAATAAAATACAGAAATAACACTAAACGCACAAAATGACTCAAATGACCGGAAAAAACCTACAAAACAACCTAGAGTGGGAAAAGAAAGATAAACAAAATACCACAAAAGTAGTGACAAAAGTGGGACTAACA